GAAAAGAGGAATACCTTTTTTATAAAAATAATAAACCTCCAATTGCATTAATCGTGGTCTTGACCAAGATGTTCTCGGCAATTACATGTTAACTGCTGTATAGCAAATACAATCTAATGAAATGACTTTGCGAAATTCACGCATGAGTATTACTATATCTCCAGTTTGTCTTGAACGCTAAACAGGTAAAGTGTATCATTATTGTTTGAACGATTCAATGAAACTTCGCATTGTATTACGCCTAGATAAGTAAAGTACATGTTAGTGTCTCAAAATTATTCACCATACATTGACTGCTATGTATACCTGCCTTGCATCATGCAGAATATCACAGTTTCAAAGGCTTAGTGATTTGGAACATTCCGTATTCGGTTCCGTCTGAATCGCTGATGCACGGACAGTGTGATATGGATACTGATTTCTCGTATCTACCCCCACCCCCACCCCCACCCCCGAGATTCCGTTTTCTATCAAAAAGAGAACCTGCATTATNCACGAATGGGAGCGAAGAAAGGCATTAGTCGAAGGGGTGTACCGATAACTACGAAAAAATGAATGTCAAAATAGTGATCGACATGGAATTCTATTTTATTGCTCATAGTAAATGAAGCTAACAAGTTCACAAACACAGCTGTACGAAACATCTGTAGACAGTGCGCTCCAAGTGTTGTGCATGGATAGACACGATTAATTTAGACAAGGAAGCTAGTTGTTCGTTATGTGACCCTTGCAATATGCCGTAGCCCGGGTGTTGGAATCCGCGCAAGATTTTTGGAGCACAAATCGGAATGTGAAATGACTTTCATCTCTCTCTCTCTCACACACACACAAGTGCCATCAACTGAAAACAGCAAACTGATCACACTCAACAAACGTGTCAGCATCGTCATTCACACTTGTACTTCACCCTTCTCTCCCTCCCCGGCCACCTCTATCCCATCTCTACTCCCCTCCGCTCTCCTCGGAAAGCAAGTCAAACCCTCTTATCTGACTGAGCTTACCCGGTCCATTCCACCGGCCCATGCACAAGTCGTGTAAATTTCCCAAAGGGATAAGCACAATCATTTGTACGGAGAAGCTTCCAGTTCGGTGCAGAAAGTGTTATCGATAATTCATGAGTTACCGTCTTTGTATTTGGGTCCTATCATGGCAGCACTGGTCAGAGACAGAGAGAGGAAGGTGTCCGACATAGTCCCGATTTTGACTTCACACTCTCGTAGTATTTGTTGCCAGGGGATGCATCCTTTTGAGTATTTGCATACGCATGAAAAGCACCGATCGTTACTGTTCTGAAACGAGCACCGTTTCACATCAGTAAACCTGAGAAAAAAAGTGATAAATGTTACAATTTCCCTTGTGGGGACAGTTTTTCACCCAGTTGTTAGTGGGCGTCACTCGGATTGGGAATTGGAACGGGGGAAAAACGAGGGGGGTGGGGGAGAGGGAGCACTGGGTTAATGAAGGGAAATCGTTGCAGCATGAGAAGTGGTGTACCCGTATACTATCTACTTATCATCCAATAGGGTCAGCCTTTCATGAGATCACTAGCTGACAGGCTACACCAATGGAATGAAACAAAAGCGTCTGTTGTAATTTGCTACCAAATCGGTTCGGATAGTTTTGATCGTTTGCCACACCAATTTTTTCGTCTATTTCTTGCGTCATCCAAGGGAATAGATTGAACTTCAGTCATTCGATTCCACTTGGACCACATGAAAGTTCCCCTTCCTTCAAAATGCACACTGATGACTGATCGCTTCCGAGTCGAGCTCCAACGGTATGCGTTCATTTTTACGCCGGTTATTATATATGGTTCTGAATGTTAAAGCTTGCATCCAATGGTTTGATAAGGGTGCGGTACTGCCTATGCTTTTGGTAAACGTTCACGAGATCCGTGGGCTGAGCTGTTTAAAACTAATTAGATTGATGCACAAGTTATTCGATGACATGAAAAAAGCTGGTATTTTTTAGCTCGGTGGTGTTGGTAGTGGCCGAGCGGTAAAATCGCCAAGTTTGTTTCAATCGCACCACCACCGTCTGACATTCCTACTGTTCATGGGTTGTATGACCGTCCTTTGATTGGCCACCTCCCCGTTCCTGAAAATTGGGTAATTATGTGCTTAATATAAGGAAGTAAAATAAAGGATAAAACTCTGTTTTTATCTACTTGCATAGCTAAGTTGTTTGTTTGAATTGACAGCTAGTAAAAATTTCACTCATTCTATTGAAAATTTGACGAAAAATGTTTGATACATTGGGAACCAGTTTCGGTTTGAACCATTGTTAATCATGCACTTCCGTGCTGCAGTTTTGGTTGCTGTCTTTTGGCCGCCCAGTCGAAAGGAGGGACAACAGGAAGCTTCGAATGTCGTAAATTGTGTGAACTTGTAAATAGAGAATTCTTGTAGACTAGGGTTACAAGGATAATGAGTAGATGCACGAGTACTACTGTTTATGACACTCAGCCACATCATTCAGTGTCCCTATCCATCGATTATAGTTATTTCGAGGTACCCATCCACCAATCATAAAGCAAAATACGCGAGCAAATCTCTTGGTCGGTCATTTTTACCCTCTTAGCTTGACCGCTTTTGAGCTTTTCCATCCACTGCGTGCCTCGGCAAGCATCGCATCTCGTGGCATCCTATTTGCTGATGTGTATAACACTTGTCCTAACCAATGTTACCTATAGAGTTGAATGAGTTGTTCCAGTGGATGACCGCGATTACCTAAAGCTGGTCCTAAACTCAGCAGTGCTCGTCCGCTTGTCCCACTACACTCATGCAATGCAGCCTAGACAACGGTTTGCGAGCACCGACTGCCTATCTTTATGCTCTTTTCCTAATGGTCAAGTTTCTGCACCGTATAGCAGCACTGGGCGAACTGCCGCAGCATACACTCAACCCTTTACAGGCAGTCGCATGTCACAATGACGCCAGAAATGTCTCAAGTTGGCAAATACCAACCGAACCCTTTATGTGCGAGCCCACACTTCATTGGTCACCAGGCGGAAATGAAGATTTAAATAAGTGATGCGTGGAAAACTTTGCACCACGCAAACGTTTCTCATCCACTCAATGCAAACGTGGTTTTTTCAAACTGCGAAAGGGTTCACTCACCAAGCTAGATGGTCAGACCATTACGGTTCTTTATCTTCATCTAACCTCCCAGAATGTACATTAAACGCAAATTGACGTCCCAATTTTTGCGTATAACCTATTTCATCATGAAGTAATCCTTCAATGTGATCAAACGAATCAGAGCAATAGCGGATAAGGTAATCAACAAGTCGATATGTAACATGTTTGATTCAAGACTGATATTAGTCATTTCCCGACTTGATCGGCCACCGACTTTGTCAAACTTTTAAGTCCAAACTCATCTGGTGAAATTTTATCTAAGAGCGAAAAAGCCGTGTGTCCATTCTACGTTTCTGATACTAGGAATTGGATGTAGATGGACAAGACTGGCATCCGTACGCTCTGTATGTCATGTGCCTCAGCGGAGACTCCGAGATTTAGTGTTCGAATACATAATCAATATCCATTTAGAAAGCATGATCTACTGGCTGGTGCGACAGTGGCAATGGTTTCACGTTGACAGGTATTTAGCGAACCAGACTTGTTATGATTGATTGTATAAATTACTTGTGTTCGTAATTATAGGAATCGGACTATACGGTTATTAAGGATATCTGATCTGATAGCGAATCGCTTTCCGCTTTTGTGCACCTCCACGCTACCGGACTCGACTAAGCCCAATTGTAATTTCGGGAAATATTGAACCGCTCCGGTTGCACCCCAAAAAATGTACGACCAGCGGACGGTCTATATCACGGTCTCCCCGAGATTCACATGTGATGTCTTGACTAGTGTTCACAAATCATATCTGCACACAAGCTCTATGCCATGGACTTTGTAACTACAACCGCAGTGTCTTCCAATAAGCATGTAAAAGTGAAGAGAAACTCAAGCATACTTGACTCGGTCAACAACAAAAAATACTTCAATTGATTATCAAGTGAGCAACCAGGGTAACCGACTTATTTTCACGATATTTTGGGTTCGATCCTTCTTATGACAACAGAATGAATAACACTATTTCGACGAATCAATTTGTTTTTCAGCCTCCTCCCCTTGTGGCTAATATATTTCATAGCTGTTCAACCGAACTAGCCTCACGTGTCTGTTTTCATATACATATGAGTGTAAAATGCAGTTCGTGTCCATTTGTAAAATAAATAATTAATAAGTGTAAATCCTGATCCAGGTTGTGTTCCAATGCCACCACCATCACCGACCGATGATAATACTCCTAAATGGCGAATAGAAACGGGCGAGTTCTGCATGTGACCCAACCGGACATTTCAGCTGCGTCTGTAAGGAGACAACCATTGTTATCAAGGGGGGAAAATGAACCGGTTAGATTCACACGAATTACGTCATTAAATCTACTGGGGGAATAAGGAAAATAAAACTGAAACTGTCTAGTGAACTCAGTCCAACGGT